TATTTGGGGAACAAACTGAAACACAACACTACATGAAAATACCAGTCTGTTTTCCACAATGGAAGCATTAATATACCCAAACCTCAGTAGTTTTGAAAAAATTGTATTCTACAACGATATTTTGAATGAAAATGGCAAATTGAAAACTAGACAACAATCACAGAATCATGGGGTGAAGTTAGATTGGTGGCCATTCCTCCAGATACAATCAAGATATAAGAAAGACATTAAAACATAGATGTAAATAAAGAACCAATAGTACTTGACAAGATTCTGATGGGGACGGATGAAAAATTGATAAAGGAAATGTATAACTATTTATTGACATTTAAAATGGAAGAGGAACAGTTTAAAGAACCAATGATTGAATGGGAAAGAAATTTTGGTTATAACATTGAATTAGAGAAATGGCAAAAATTATCGGATAGGAATTATAAATTGACTACGGCCTCACCTTATAAAGAAAATCTATATAAAATGTTCTACAGATGGCACTTACCCCCAGGAAGACTGGCAAAAATGTTTAATAACTTGTCTACAAAATGCTGGAAATGCAATCAGTCCCCAGGCACATACTACCACATGTGATGGATGTACAACAAAGCAAGAAAACATTAGGAGAAATTAGATAATTGGCTGGAAGTGACAACTAAACAAAATATAGATTCAAAGCCGGAATTATATCTGTTTGGAATAATACCAGAGGTTTACGATAAAGGGACCACATTGTTAGTTTTACATATACTGACAGGAGCAAGGATTATATTTGTCAAATACTGGAAAAATGAAAACTTTGCCAGATGAGGAAGTAATTTGGAAAATTTTAGAATATGCTGAAATGGATAGTTTTACTTTTAAAATTAAGGATAAAGAAGACTCAGAATATTACCTGATATGGAACAGTTTTTATGAGTGGCTAGGGAAATGGGTAGGAATTAGAAGAAAAAAGACCATGAATGTCTGTATTAAAATAGAGATGGTTTTCAACTATAAGTATGATAATATATAAAATGTAAATAGGCTAAGATATAAGAAAACTCATTTTTAAATATTTGGTTATACTATAACAATTATATTTAATACAAGTGTTATCATATTACAGTTACTGTTATGAGTTCATGTGTTAATATTTACCATGCTTTTTTTTATTCTGGTCTTTGTCTGTGTAACTGACATACCCTGTATTCATGCACTGTATTCAAAAATACTTGTAAATAAGAAAATGTAAATGTAAATGTAGATAGATAGATAGATAGATAGATAGATAGATAGATAGATAGATAGATAGATAGATAGATAGATAGATAGATAGATAGATAGATAGATAGATAATGAATAGGGCCGTAATGGTGAACCTATGGCATGCATGCCATAGGTGACACGCAGAGCGATATTTGCTGGCAGGTAAGCCGTCAGCTCCGGCACGCATGTGTGCTCCAGCCAACTGATTTCTGCACTGCCAGAGGGCAAGGGAAGGCCACTTTCACCCTCCCAAGGCTTCATGAAAGGCTCCAGAGCCTGGGGAGGGTGAAAAACAGGTCCAATGGGACAACCGGAAGTTCAGAAACAATCTTTTTCTGGCTTCTGGAGGGCCTTCGGGTGGCTGGGGGAGGCTGTTTTCATCCTCCGGAGGCTTCACGAAGCCTCTGGAGCATGGGAATGGCAAAAACTCCCCCACCCCATGAGGGTAGTGATGTCGTGCATACATGCACTGGGCAGGGAGGCTTGTGTGCATACACAGGTGGGCAGGGCATATTGAATTGTGGGTGTGGGCACATACACATGCAATAGTGCACACGCACACAATTTTAGCATGTCTTTACAAAAAGGTTTGCCATCTCTGGAATAGATCTTTATTGGACAAGTGTGATGTGACACAAGGCATTTGCTCTGATGTATAAACTCCCGGTGCACATACAAACAGCAAAGCAATATGATCCCAATGGGAGAAAGTAATAGGAAAGATGAGAAGGAAAGCAGTAATATAGCCCTACTACATGGATAAATATTCTTAGACATAAAAGATCTAGTTAGGAAGCAATGGGTATAGGGGAATTCCATTCAGAAGATTCAACAATGCTCTAAGGCTTTAAATATATCTCATTTTCTACTGTGGAATAGAAATTTCAAAAATTATTATGCTAATGGTGATCAAAATAGTTTCCACATCAAGGAAAAGAGGAGGAAACTGTTTTGAGAAGCAATCAAGTCTGAATACCACAAGGACAAGTCTGAATACCACAAAGACAGATAATCTGCAGGAAAGGCATAACTCAAAAGTCTTATCCCCAAAGTTTAAATATTTTGCATGATAACAATAGATAGCAAGCTACATGCGGCACCTGTGAAATGTGCAGAGAAAGGAATGTTACTGATGGTGGGAAACTTCTTGTTACAACTCATTGTGCGAGTATATTTATGCAGGCAGTCAAACCATTATTTTGATCATAAGGAAAATATTTATTATATATGAAGAAAGTTGAAACTTCATTCAAACTATTGATCGTTACATAACTTAGTTCCAGGCCATGTCATGGATTCCAGAAGATTCATCCTGTTAGATCCATCCATAAAGGTAGACACTGAATATCTTCTTTGCAGACCAAGGTGCGGATGGACCCAGAAACAGCCCATCACAGCTGACCTCTTTATGGAGTTATTTTGCCCCATGAAGTCTGTATTAGGCCTCCCTACATCTTCATTTTTTGTAAAGCAACAAAGATCTTAGAAAAGAATGTCCAGATGAAGCATAGTTACTTGTTTTATGTCATTACTGTAATGTAACAGAAGTTATTCTTTATGAGTATTTTGTTTAGATGTTAGCCATCTATAGTTGAGCAAAATGTATTCATAAATAAATAACATTCTGGTGCCTTGTAACGGTGCTCAATTTCAGTTTCAAAAATCCCCAATCAGATGTGGCAATGCTATCTGGAAACTATAAAAGTTAAAACCCAGTGGATTTGGAACAAAGACTTGTACAGCTCACCCAAAGCTAACTAATAATCCAACTATCTCTACCTAATTTTAAAAAACTGATTATAATAATTCCTAGTTGCAGCTGATCACCATACAAAAGTGGCTTCATTTATCATATATCCTATAAAGGGAGAATTTGATGAAAATAAGCCATTTTGCACATTTTTGTTTGTTAAATGTATTCATTTATGAAATTTATATGTCACCCATATCACTAACGATGACTCTGGGCAGCTTACAAACTTCAGAAATATAAACATTTAAACATTAAATATTAAATTAACCAAAATTAGGTAAATTAAAAATCAGAAAACAATGGGGTGGAAATGGGATCTTCTTCCTAGTCCACTAACCATCTCCAACATGGAATGAATGACCACTGGAGCACCAGGCACACTGGCAGAGCCAGGTCTTGAGGCTCTTATGGAAGACCAAGAGGGCAGGGGGGGGGGGCGGTTTCATCTCCAATGGGACAATGTTCCAGAGGGTGAGAACCATGCAGAAAAGCGTATATAGCATAATTATCATTTTACATGTCTATGGTATCTTTTCAGCGGACATGGAGTGACAATTTTCTTGCTTTCATATCCTGATTCACAATAGTTTCACAAGTATATCATAATACATAATAGAATACTGACATGGATTTTTTTGGAGTGGAAACAATTATCTTAATACTTGGGCACAGGACACATTCAACGATCAGGTGCATAATCTTTTGTCTTTGAGAATCAGCATAAGAAAATACTTAAGTTCAGCCACAGTAGTAAATATACTTTAGTTTACCACGAATAGGTGATCTTTTGGTGACAAGAGGCCAGTGGGTCCCAGCAAGGAAAATAGTTTTGTAAAATAATGAAATATTTAGAGTTTTTCTTCCTAGGATTCTGAGGGACACCGGGGGAGTGGCTTGATGTGTTTTTTTCATTTTAAAAAAATAATAATTAATGAAATATGTTTCAAGGTGTTCATTACTATTTCTGTTTGTTTCCTATCTCAAAATGCAAAACAGCATGCTACTTTTTTTTAGTGATAGGCAACAAAAATAGCTCCAAATAGTTGCAAAAAAAAAAAAAAAGGAACCTAGGGTTAAATAAGTTTGTTACCCCTACTCTGAAAAATTGAGGGTGCTTAACAATTTGGTTCGCTTTGCCTACTAATCTAATTATTATATAGTTCATTGTAAAATATTAAAGATATTGTAAATAATTTGATATGGTACAAACTTTTATGGCTTGATTTTATTTGAGAAATAATATATAATAAAGCCGGTTCTAGTTCATAATCTATTTTTGAAGGTCCCATAAATTCTTGCTTTTGTTGCAAAAGATACTGCTCTTAAGGAAGACAGGAAATAGGTTATCAAAATTAGACAAAGAATCGTAAGTACTGAGCAATTATATTGTTTTAGATTTCATACTTTTTACAAAGCATGTCTTTACAATTTTAGCCATGTAGATTACAATATTTTTTTCTCATGTCATTTGTCAACATTTATTTCTCATTTCTCATAAAACTTAGGGTTCCTGGGACACCTAGCCCATGCCAGAAACCACACTTCTGTAGTTGTGTAACACATACTGCAGAGCTGAATATTAGGAACTCAAACAATGACCAGGGACAATCATCACTAGGAGATGAAGGAAAACATCTCCTAAACTTGGCACTGCATGTGTTTGGCTAGGTGGGACATAGTCTGACTGGAGATAGAATTGTACTGGATTTGGAAACTACTGAAGGGATGTGTTTAAATTAGGGACAAATAGAAGGGTTAAACATACAAGGTCAAAAGGTTGATTTTTTCAATTTGCAACCTCTCTTCCTTTGAGCCTTTTCATTTAAAATTAGACATTCTGATTGAAAGTCTACATTGAAACACATAATGATCACCTCTGATTTTTAAGGAGCCGAATTAGATAGCAAATTTAATGACATACAATATTTATCTTTCTTGATTTCCAATTCTTCACTTTTTTTGATATCTATTGATCCTTCTTTAAGCTGAAGGATAGACCCAGTACCTGAGTAGATTTGTCACTCATGTGTGACAGGGGAAGTCCTTCGGCATCTCGAGGCCACTGGCCCATGAGGTATGAGTCAAGGATGGTATCTAACGATGAAGTATGCTGTGCTCTTGGAGGTCTGTTCCGGGAGGTCCTTTCAGAACCAGCAGCCCACGGAACACTAGCTAGAGAACAAAAAAGAAAAAAAGAATGAATGGATTTGCTACAAAATGCAAGCAAGCACCACTTCTGTCCAAGTGTTTTTCAACAACTGCTTCCACATTGCTTCTCACATCTACTCTCAAATATTATTCTAGACCTTGAGGCTTCCTACACTGTCATAAATAGCTTTCCATCCCACACTTTAGACCACTGTTGCAAATGCCCCAGCACCATGTGATATGGGTGGTGAAAAAACACAGACAACACTTAGAACCAAAGTGGTTGCCGCACATTTTAGAGGCATGCTTAAAAAAATGGTTCTTCTGCAACAAGTGACACAGTATTAGCTGATTATTTTTTTAAAATTGATTTTACTAGTTTTTTTTTATAACCAAATGACTTTAATCGAACATCGTAAGCTCCAAGCCTTAGTTTTATGGAAAGACACAAACAACATTTTTTTAAAAAAATGTTTAAAAAGCAACAACCTAATAGTGGGGTGAGAAGACAAAGAACAAATAATGTCTTAGCCTAAACAGCCAGCAGCATTTTTCCCTTTTTGCAGACCTAGGTAAGTCCATACAAATTGCTACCTTCTCCTTTTAAAACGTAGATCAACAGCAAGCAGAGACAAAAAGCTGAAAATGAAATCTATGTAAAAGGATTAAACAAGTAAAATAATTCAAATAAAGTTTCCTGAGCCCAGCAATCCAAATTCAAGGCTTGGAGTATGAAGTGATCAATAAATTAGCTTACCCGGTGGCCTTGGGCAACTCATGCCTTCTCTCTGTTGAATCTTCCCCAGAGGAGTAAAGATGAAATATGAGACAAGTTGTGGTAACACTCAGCCCTTGGGATAGAAATCTAATTGCATCTAAATATATTCATTTCCCAACTGCTTCTCTAGTCAACAAGAATGCAATTTCCTCCCTTATTTTTAGGCTGGGCCTGCTGATTATCTCTCCTCCCTTATTACTGTTTTGCAAAACCTAGTAACTTCAGACATTTTTCAAAAAATATTACTATTTCCCTAGTAATATCAGTGGAAGACCATTTTATACATTGTTCGTAGAACCATAGGCTATGGCCACATGTATCACCAGTCATGCACAGCAAAATAATCCAGTTCCCTCTAGAGACATCAACATTTTTATAGAAGCTAAAGAATTTCTCAGCTATCTTTCCTGATATGAGACTTGCAGCTGTGCAAAGACTATAACTCACTTTTTCTTGAATCAGTAATTATAATTACAAGCACCTGAAGGCAGGAAAAGAAGAAATGGACAAAACCTATGAAGAAAAGATCCAACCTAAAAATAATGAGAAATTTTCTGACAGTGAGGACAATTAATCAGTGGAATGGTTTGCCTTCAGAAATTGTGGATGCTCCTGGAGATTTTTAACAAGCAATTGGACAACTGTTTCTTTGAAATGTAGTTTCTTGCTTGAACAGGGGGTTGGACCAGAAGACCTTCAAAATCCCTTACAAGTCTATTATTCTTCTCTATTCCACTCTAATCACAAAGGATGAAGAATTGGGGAAAGTTGAAGTAAGATGCAAGAACCTATAGGAAATCTGGCTATCCCAACCATTATTTAGGAAAAATACAAAAGGAAACCTACAGCTTTCTGTATGGTGCAGAGAATTATCACTCTAAGAAATTCACCCTTCTCTAAATATTTCAAACAAAAAATAACACATAGTTCTGAAAATAAAAATGTTAGTAGCATTGCCCATCTACACAATATTGTGATGCCTATCATTTTCTTGTCCTGAGAAGAGAATGCTTTCATTTTCACAATACACACTTTTTCTCACCCTATATCTAAAAGCCTTATTGGAAAGAACCAGGGTTTTTGTTTGTTTGTTTGTTTGGTTTGGTTTTCCATTCTATTTCATTTTGAATCTCCCCAAATTTATGACAATATAATATTTAACGTATATTAGCAAAAAGCTGACACCAGTATGAATTACGAGGACAAATTGTTTTCAAAAAGCTGTTTGCCTCCTGAGTTAACCTCTTTGCATTAATTTTATGAATTATATTAGCGCTTAACAAGCCTTCATCCATCTATCAGTAAAACTTGCAGCCTTCTGCTTTCACTTAACATGGGCCATTATGAACTATGTCCTAAGGAAGGGAAATCTGCACAAAGACATCCACTGATTCTGATAAGGGACCTGTAAAGCCAAGATTTCCTGGCTCCCAGCTACTGCATTTAAGTAGGAAAAAATGCCAACTAAAGCCCCAGGCAGGAGTTTGTTTGCTTTTCATTTACACATAAATTAATATGCACTCTTAAGTAAAGCAGGGATCTCCTGGTCTGCTGCCAAGAAGATCTCTGGCAGCTCCTGTTCAGAGCTCGACTCACAACAGTTCAGCAGCTATTTAAGGCCTCCTCTGACTGGCTGTTGACCTCACATCAGGGTCTATTTGAGGCACATGCATTCAACTTCAGTAGGATATGCCTGAATATAAAGCTTTCCTTCTAGCATTCCTTCTTCAACCTAAAAATTCTGACCCAAAGGCAATCTTTCTTCATAGTGAAGAAATCTATAGTTCCTCTTCTCAGTAGCTTAGGGCTGACAAAGAAGTCAATGATTGGAACTGCTTGTGATAGATATCTGGGAAATAGGGGCTGCACACTGCTAGCAGAACTGGAAAGATAACAGATCCACAGCTGATCTGAAGCGCTTTCCTGTCCCAATTAAATCAGCACTACCTAAAAATACACCCGAGGCTGCAAAACAATGCCTACTTCAAGAAAAAAGATGGCTTGTGAGAAAAGTAGTGGCAGGGTGGAGTGCCCTGTTTACAGGGCTGCTCCATTATCAATTTAGTCCACTAGGCTAGGATCAGACCAGCCCCACCTGGTTGCACTCTCTGGGATTAGTCCAAGCTCTGTATGCCAGTTAAGCATCTCCAATCAGGGCTGTGTCGAAAATGTAGGGAGTCAAGGCAGAAGAACATTTTGATAGTAAAAACTATTATTATCTCAACCTACCAGTCTGGTAGCTGCCTTACATCTATTTCTCCATATGGGACTTCTTTCTCCATTCCCTTATTTTATTTTACATGCTTGTGGAAATTATTAGCATAAGAGAGTGAAAAAGATGTGCCCCATCTTCCCCAACTATTTCACTGCACCTACTCTTAGTAACATTGGCAATAACTGCTTTCCAGCTTCTGTGACTTCAGGATACGCAAGAGGATCAGAGCAACAGAATGTAGCTGAAATTCTGTAGGCTAATCACACATATGAAACCCCTCTAGACAGAAGCTGTTCCTACATTTATTTCTACAGGTAGTTCTCCACTTACAACCATTCATTCATTCAGGGTTTCAAATTACAGTGGCACCAAACAAAGGGTCTTATGACCAGTCCCTGAAGTTATGGCCATTGCACCATCCCCGCAATCAGCAGATCAAAATTTGTGCCCTTAACAGCCTGTCTGCAGGGATGTTACAATTCTCCCTATCCACCTAACAGTCCCTGATACCCTAAATTCATCATCGTTTTCCCATTGCTAATCAAGCTTGTCTAGCCTGGCCCTCTATCAGGCAACTGCTGCCTATTTGAGGCTTTCTTTCACAGGTCATGCATGGTGTTTTCCTCATAAGATGATCTCGTGGGCATAGAAATATATAGGCCAGGCTAGGCAGCATGGACCCGGAGTCATAGTGTAGTCTTTCTCTAGCCTTCCTCCACTTGCAAGAATGCACGTAAGCATCCTAGATTCTTTTTCCCTAGCCTCCTTGTGCCTACAGCCCCACTCACCCACCCCCACATCCTTTTTCACTAACATCCTCAAACTTGTACCACTCTGCAGTACCCCAATTTGTGTGTAAACTTGACTGGACTTCCCAGGGATTCCCCTTCCGCATCCCCTCGCAGCACTCTCACGCTCCTTATCTAGGATTCACTCTGCTTCCCATTTAACCACCTCCAGACATGTGGCATGTCTAGAGTTATAATACCAACTGGGACTGCCGGGATTGTGATCATGTGGTGTTGTATTGTGCTTTACAATAGCATCACTTAGTGAAAGAAATTCCAGGCCTAATTGTAGTCCTAAGTTGCAACTACCAATATATTTCACTTCTGCCCTACTTATCTTGCTAGCACAGCAAATATTGAAGTTTGTCTCTTTCATTCAGTTTCGTCTCCCTGTTGAAAAGAAATTGTCTTTGTACAACTTGTGTGTTTATTTTTGGCTCAACATGTTGGCAGAACCCTACTAGGTAAGTAATGTTCAATACATCATGGTTAAATCTTCCAGAATTCTTGGCACAACGTATAAACTCAGTTTTGGAGCCTATGAATTTATAATCAACTGTTTTAAGATAAAAATACTTTCCTGTCTAACAGGGGAAACTAAAACATGAAGGAACTGATGCTTTTGCAAATATTCACAACAAAGCTGATACAAGAAAGAGACTCGAAGTAATGGAACATTTGAGTTCAGATAATATCTTATATAACATGTAAAATATATTAGATAAATTGCACTCAAATGAAATCATCTTCATAAAGTCCATTAGTAACATCCATAAGAGGTAGTAAAAGCTGCTGAATATGTTTTACATCTATACCATCTGCAACTTTTGGATAATCTGACAATGCTAATTATTTGTGGTCTACCTTCAGATAACTGTGGCTTGCAATTCTGAAGTGTTATAATCATGATCATCACAAAAAAGATGCAAGTATTATAACAACCAACCACTAGTCATAAAACAGGCAGCAGTATAAATGGTTTCAGTAAAACTATATTAAGCAGATCACAAGCACTAATACATAAACAACCATAGGTATTAGCAATCTAAGGGAAACTGCTGCCAAGTATAGTATACGAAAGGGCAAATGGTTCTCCTACATAGTTTCATAATGTATGAAACTACAAGCCACACACTAAAACCCCGCTTTTTAACCATTAAGCAGGATAAAACAGCTACCATAAGAGCTCATGTTTGAGCTATAAAATAGGATTAAAAACATCAACTGAAGACTTACGACTTAT